GGTAATTTTACCTCTGACACTTTGAACCACCGTTAGCTCTTTTACTCATCTGCATTTAACTAGCTTGGCACATAAAGAAATAATCTATATACAGCTGTAGGAGTTTATTTAAAAAAATCGACATACTTGAAATTGTTTATACGCTTGAGAAGAGAGTCATGGTGGTCCAAAATACAACAAAGGTACGATTACCTGGTAGAAAGTGAATATAAAAGGATAATAATACAAAGTGAAATTTCGGTAATCAAAATATCATCCAAAGTAAAATTTACTCTTAATTATTTATACTTAGTTAATTTTGAGGGTTTTTATTGTAGTTTATTTTCAACATTGATTTTTAAATCACTAAAATAATGGCTATAAAGGTTTTATGTACAAATTATCGTCTGTGCTTCGTTCCTCGGATGCTTCTATCTCTTCAGGAAAAGAAAAGGATGCGTCGGATATGATCTCCGATCTCCCTTAAACAGTAAAGAATACAGCGACACCTTTGCTTTAATTAGCTTCACACCAAACTTTGAATTCTTTTTTTTTTCAAAATGAAAGGACGTAACAGCCTAGCCACAACATTAATTTTGTTATAATATATTCAAAAAAGTTGCAAAAGAGGCATTATTACCAAATTAACTCTTTTACATACACATTCATGTTTACTTTTCCTAATTAAGTTGATGCACGAAAATTTGGAAGCCAATCATACTTATTTTTATATTTCGAAGAAAAAACAAAGGAATGGAATCCTCCAATTTCAATCTAAAATTTGTCCTTCGGTGCTAATATGTACTCCCTCCATTTTAGGTTATAAGATGTTTTGACTTTGGTCAAAATCAAACTGCTTTAAGTTTGATCAAGTTTATAGAAAAAAATAATAATATTTTTGATCCAAGATAAATTTATTATAAAAATATATTTAACTATTAATTTAATAAAACTATTTTGGTAATGTAAATATTACTATTTTTGTCTAAAAACTTAGTTAAATTTGGAGCAGTTTGACTTTGACCAAAGTCAAAACATCTTATAATCTGAAACGGAGAAAGTAATATACTACATCTGACCGTCCTAAAATGAAATTGTTTCTGGTTTGTCTAGGTTCCTAAATAAAATCTATATTTTAGAACGAAATATTATTATGTTTATTAATATAATACTGCACTCCTAAAGCTAGCCAAGTCGATCCAAATCCAAGCGGCTCTAGCTACCTATAGGGTAGCTTAGCTCAAGCTTTAATTTGGCTCATTGACGGCACACTTGCTGGTTGTACTAGCATTTTTTTTAAGATAATGAAATAAAAATTCTGATCTTTGCTTCAAAGTTATAACAACTTATTACAAAATTCTCTCAAAGAGAGCAAATACTCAGGCAACCATAAGAACTGAAAAAATAAAGCCAACACACAAGGAAAAGCCAATTATTAAATTCTATTTGTGAATCTCCGTTCGTAGTTGGCGAAAATCTGCACTGCATAACCATAACTTCTAAGCTAAGACATGTAGAATCATGGCCGGCCCTAGGACAGTGCGGGGCCTCCAAAATATGTATACTATAGTAACAAGCCTGATAGGCTATTTTGTGCATTGAGAAGATGCTGCTAGATCAGATTGTTATTGACACTATCATCACTGATTTTGTATCTAGAACTATTAGAACAAATTATTTTAAATGATCTAGAGATATTTATTTTTGGTATTTTAAACTTATTAGTGTGAAATTCGTTAATGACAATGAGTTTTTAAATATTAACTTGTATTTTTATGGTGAATGGGGGCCTTCATTTTTTGTTCCGTACTGGGCCACCAAAAAGTCAGGGCCGGCCATGTGTAGAATATAAGAACTCCTTGTTCTCTTCACATTTTTGAAAATGTGCCCAGAACCGGAGCCAGTGGGATGTTGGTTGTAGCTAGCTAGGCGTCCAATAGGAGATGCATGCATATGTACACTAGATCTGGCTTTCATTCACTGATTCACAGCATGTGTTGTGCACGCCGTCGTGTCGCCGATGACGGCCGGCCCCCATGACTTTGAGAGATGCTTCCATATGTACTACAGAGCATGCTTGGTTTTTGCAGCGATCCAGATTTCGACGTATGCATGCGAAATGGCAGCATATGCAACGCCTGTCTCCAAGATGTACTCCTACACTACTTACATATTTAAATTTTGCATACGATCCAAATCGATTTTTGCATACGGACGAGCGGCCCACATGCACCCAAAAATATATGAAAATAGGGACTTTTGCATGGGCCAGCGCAACCGCATGTGGGCGCTTAAGCTGGCTGCATACGAAAAGGAAAAATCATGAAAAAAATAAAAATTCCAAAAATCAAAAAATTCACAGAAACCCTAACCCTAGAATTCTCTGGCACCGCCATCACCATCGTCCCCGTCCTCCAGTCACTACCGTCGTCGTCTTCATACTCCAAATGCCGCCATCATCCTCCCTTCGCCGCCGCCGCCGCCGCCGCCGATAGATCCACGCGGGAGGGAGGCTGCTGCCGGATCGAGGCGGGGGAGGGCAACGGCCAATGGATCCGAGTGAGTGAGGGCAGCAGCCATCGGATCAGGACGGAGGAGGGCCGTCAACGCCGGATTTGGGCAGGTGAGGGCCGCCGCAGTCGCCCACGCCCACCACCACCGTCGCAGGAGCCAGTCGTCAGAGTGAGGAGGAGGGGGGAAAGGAATGGGTTAGATGGGAGACAAGTGGGGGGCCAGGAGAGTAAGGGCCGCCGGATCCACACGGGGCAGCGTCGCTCGCTCCCGGTTGCCTTCTCGTTGGTGGCGGCGCCCACTCCTACTCAGTTAGGAGGGAAAGAGAGAGAAAAGAGGAGGTAGAAAATTTTGTAGTTTTTTTATTTGAAAAAAATTGTAGTGTTGAGAGGGAAAAGGGATAGGAGGGGAGAAAACATCTATAGAGAAGAGGAGGTATTTTGCATGCGGACCATTTATGTGGTTCGCGAAAATTTATTTTTGCATGTGGCCCCTTAAAAGGACCACATGGGAAAATAAACTTATTTTTGCATGCAACTCCTTAAGTGACTTACCTGCGAAAATATATTTTTACATGCGGCCCCTTAAGGAGTTGTATGCGAAAATAGAGGTTGATTTTTGCGAACACTATCAATTATGGTCCATTTGCAACTTACAGGGGTCCTCATACAGAAAAATTGTTTTTTAAGTAGTGGTAGCTAATGCCTCCATCTCAAAATATATTAGTAATACAATTTAAGACAGATATGCATATATACTATCTGGTATTAAATTGCCATATTTTAAATAGAAGTAGTAGGTCAGAGTATGCATGCATGCAGCTAATCTTATCTATGATTTCTTTTTGAGATAACGGAAAATGCAACCTTATCTGCATATGTTAGATATGGAGGCTACATGAGGAACACGAGGGTTGATTTAATTAGGATATATATTGTTGGTCAGATACTAAGTGATATGTTGGTTCTTCTTCGCAACGACTTAACAGTGAGTGCTTGCTGATTTGCGTATATTTAGTTAGGACTTGTGGGACCTAATTGATTTTGGGAAGGTTTGTTAATTTGTTTAATTTGATGCTTGGATTTTAGTTGCGTTTCTCCGTCAATTGGACTGGATTGTGATTAATTATTCCTATTAATTGGGTACTTGTGCTGTCACTCAAATTTTCACTATTTAAATATTTTTCTAGTTAAATTCTTGTAAAGGATGTATTTATTTGATGAAAAATCTGACTATAAACAAAGGTGGATGATTAAATAAGAATTAAATATTACATATAAATGTACTCCCTCTGTTTCATTTTATAATTATAAGATATTTCAATATTTTTTCTATAGTCAAACTTATATAATTTATACGAAGTTTATAGAAATACATAGCAATTTTTAACACAAATATACTAGCAAAATATATTTAATGTTAGATTAAACAAAACTAATTTGATATTATATATGTTGCTATATTTTCATATAAAGTTGAGATATTTAAAGAAGTTTAATTTTGAAAAAAGTTAAAGCGTTGGAGCGAGTAGAAAATTTTTGGACAAATTATACTCTAAAAGTGTGCCACAAAACGATCTACAAATAATCGTGGCCTGGTAATCTACAGATACTTAAATAATCTTGAGTGAGGATGATAATTGTGGGCCCTACTAACTGCCATCCAAAGTAGAGGCAAATGACTGGCTCGTTTCAAAATATCAAGGACAAAATCGTAAACCCTACTTTAAAATCACAATTAGAACTAAAAGTGAGGGCAAAAATGTGATTGTCCCCCCCCCCCCAAACAAAAAAAAATAATGTGTGAGCTAGAGGGTTTACATGCCAATATCCCTCCCTAATTCTGTTGGAAAAAAAAAGTAATGTGTGGAGCTAGAGGGCTACATGTCAATAACCTTAACTGCCAACATTTTATCTTTACTTTTTTTTCCTTTAAGAAAAATGACAGTAGGTAACAAATATATTCAGAATTCAGGAAATGATATATGCAGAAAATAATGCTAATAATAAATTAATGATAATTTTCTTTAATACAAATCCGTTGCATCACACGAGTCATATGCTAGTCTAATCCTTAAAAATCCTAGAAACATTATCTAAGTCAACAAATCAACAAATAACTAATATTCTTACATCAGCTACTATAATTCTTCGATGTTGAATAGATGAATAATTACGAATTAATTAAATTGTAAAGTTGAAAAATCGATTTTTTCTAAGAAATTCACATATAGAAAGTTTATATAAAATCACAATGTTCAATAGCTCGGAAATCGTGCAAATCTGCTCACTAAAAAAAATGCTGACTCTATACCGAATACACATCCCTATACGTATAAGTCTATAGGTAAGAATTTTTATATATAGAGAAAATAACCCGCATAAGTTTATAGAGCATATGGTAATTGTGCATCATATGATATTAGGATAAAATGAAGAAAATATAAAGGTGAGAGTAGAGTTTTGGATAAGCAAAAAATCCATCCATCCATCCTTTAAAGCCGTTGGCGGCGTTGGCCGGCCCAACGACATCGACGGCCAAATCCCCCAATCCCACCTTCCGGAAAACCACCAACCCGGCAGCGGTTTTCCGGCAGCCACTGCCGCCGGACAGCCAGCCACCACCGTTGCTGGCTACTCACTCTCACAGCCACAGTGACCGACTCGGCTCGCCTCGCTTGCAGCTGCACCCAACCCAACCTCCTCGCCTTCCTCCTCTCCTTCCTCTTCTCCTCTTCTCTACTCCACTCTGTCCCACGCGCGCACACACGCACGCAGCTTCCTCGGCCTTGGAGGGGTGAAGGGGGGAGGGAGGAGGAGCAGAACGAAGGATCTTGGGGCTCGGGTTGGTCGGGGTATGGATCGGCTCGGCGCGGGTGTCCTAATGCCGAGCTTTCTTGGCAAGATCCATGGCCGCCGCGCGAGAACCCTCGTCTCGTAGACAGCCCTAAAGCCCTCGCGGCAGGATGGTCGGAGCGCGTAGGTCAGCCTTCTCTTCTTCTCCTTCTTCTTCTCCCTGGAATTTCGGTTTCTTGGATTTGCGGTTGCTTCCTCCAGGGTTTCGAGCTCCGATTTTGGGGGGATTTGATTTTTTTTTCTTTTTGTCGATCTCATCTTTTGTGATTAGGGGAGTTTTCACATCCAGATCTTGCTTCGTGTTACTGAAAAAAGAATAAACATGGTTCGTTCGTTTGTTTGATTTGCAGGCAAATCGACGGGGAGGAATCAAGAATCGGGGCCTTCGATCGCTGCAGAAACCGCCATGGACAGCTCCAGCAAGCTCGCGCGAATGCGCCTGTGATAGAAGACTTGTAGTTGGAGAGCTTGCAGAGCCAGATTGTGGAGGAGAAGCAGCGATGCCACCGATCCCATCTCTGTGGATCCGCGTCTTCTTCTCCTGGCTGCTGCTGTCGCTGCCCGCCGCGGCTGCCGCCGATTTCAGCCACTGCGGCGGCTGCGACGACGGCGACGGCGGCGGCGGCATATGGAGCACGGACAACATCCTGCAATGCCAGAGGGTGAGCGACTTCCTCATCGCCATGGCCTACTTCTCCATCCCGCTCGAGCTGCTCTACTTCGCCACCTGCTCCGACCTCTTCCCGCTCAAGTGGATCGTCCTGCAGTTCGGCGCCTTCATCGTGCTCTGCGGCCTCACCCACCTCATCACCATGTTCACCTACGAGCCGCACTCGTTCCACGTCGTGCTCGCGCTCACCGTCGCCAAGTTCCTGACCGCCCTGGTGTCGTTCGCCACCGCGATCACGCTGCTCACGCTCATACCGCAGCTGCTCAGGGTCAAGGTCAGGGAGAACTTCCTCAGGATCAAGGCGCGGGAGCTGGACCGGGAGGTGGGGATGATGAAGAGGCAAGAGGAAGCGAGTTGGCACGTGCGGATGCTCACGCACGAGATCCGCAAGTCGCTCGATCGCCACACGATCCTGTACACCACCATGGTTGAGCTCTCCAAGACGCTCGAGCTGCAGAACTGCGCCGTCTGGATGCCTAGCGAGAGCGGGAGCGAGATGATCCTGACACATCAGCTGAGGCAGATGGAGACGGAGGACTCGAATAGCCTGTCCATTGCGATGGACAACCCGGATGTACTTGAAATAAAGGCAACAAAGGATGCAAAAGTTCTCGCGGCAGACTCAGCGCTTGGGATTGCAAGCAGAGGCAAGCTTGAAGCAGGTCCTGTTGCTGCAATACGGATGCCGATGTTGAAGGCGTCGAATTTCAAAGGAGGGACTCCAGAAGTGATGGAAACAAGCTATGCTATTTTGGTCTTGGTACTACCCGAGGATGGTTCACTAGGATGGGGTGAAGAGGAGTTGGAGATTGTTGAAGTGGTTGCTGATCAAGTCGCAGTCGCCCTATCACATGCTGCAGTTCTGGAGGAATCTCAATTGATGCGAGAGAAGCTCGCCGCGCAACACAGGGACTTGCTGAGAGCAAAGCATGAAACCACGATGGCCACTGAAGCTAGGAACTCCTTTCAGACTGCCATGTATGATGGAATGCGACGGCCAATGCACTCGATCCTTGGTCTAGTCTCAATGATGCAGCAAGAAAATATGAACCCTGAGCAAAGGCTTGTAATGGATGCCATTGTCAAGACAAGTAGCGTTGCGTCAACATTGATGAATGATGTCATGCAAACATCAACCGTAAATCGTGAGTATTTGTCTTTGGTGAGGAGGGCATTCAACCTTCATTCGTTGGTTAAGGAGGCAATCAGTGTTGTAAGATGCCTAACTGGCTGCAAGGGGATTGATTTTGAGTTTGAAGTGGATAATTCTTTGCCCGAAAGGGTCGTCGGTGATGAGAAGAGGGTTTTCCACATCGTCCTGCACATGGTAGGTACTCTAATACAGAGGTGTAATGCAGGCTGTCTATCCTTGTATGTGAATACTTACAATGAGAAGGAAGAGAGGCACAATCAGGATTGGATGCTGCGAAGAGCAAACTTCTCTGGCAGCTATGTGTGTGTTAAGTTTGAGATTAGGATTAGAGAGTCCAGAGGTAATCTTTTGAGTTCGTCATCCAGTCGGAGACTTCAAGGGCCCAACTCTACCAGTTCTGAGATGGGGCTTAGCTTCAACATGTGCAAGAAAATTGTGCAGGTATACTATAAACTCTTTAATGTTCTATGTCTGCAACAAAGCAAAATGTATCAACATTGCTTGATTGTTTTTTTTTTCTCATCTTGTATTACTTATAATGGATCGAGATGTACATTGCTACATGATCACATAGCCAGACTACTCTTGCTTTGCTACTATTATTCCCAATTCAAGGATGTGCATATATGTTTACAAACGCTGTCAGATTGCCAAAACCAGGACAGATTTTTCTATAAAAGATGCGATTAATTGTTTCTCGATAAGTCTAATTTCTTAATCATCAAATTATGCAAGTTGCAATGTCTTGTCTGATGAATAAACTGAAAGAGTTCTTTTTTTCTGATATGAGCCCCCTTTTTTTCTGCTGCAGATGATGAATGGTAATATTTGGTCAGTCTCTGATTCAAAAGGCCTTGGAGAAACTATCATGCTTGCCCTTCAGTTCCAGCTGCAGCATGTGACTCCGGTCTCTGGAGCATCCTCGGACTTGTTCCGATCAGCGCCAATTCCCAATTTTAATGGACTCCAAGTCATTCTTGTGGACAGTGATGACACCAATCGGGCCGTAACTCACAAGCTCCTGGAGAAGCTTGGTTGCCTAGTCCTCTCGGTTACTTCCGGCATCCAATGCATCAACTCCTTTGCCAGTGCTGAGTCATCTTTCCAGCTGGTGGTTCTTGACCTCACCATGCGTACAATGGATGGATTTGATGTAGCTCTTGCAATCAGGAAGTTCAGGGGGAATTGTTGGCCACCGTTGATAGTTGCTCTTGCGGCAAGCACCGATGACACCGTTCGGGATCGGTGCCAGCAGGCAGGAATAAACGGTCTGATCCAAAAACCAGTCACTTTAGCAGCACTGGGAGATGAACTGTATAGAGTCCTTCAAAACAATTGAAAGAGCCTCATGGTTCTCATTTCTTTCAATCTCAATAGATTGCTGTAGCTTGATTAATAGTTACTACGCTACTAGTTTCTGCCAGGTTAGGTCCATACAATCACAAAACATTTGCACAAACAAAATGTATAGGGAGATATTAAAACATCCTGCCTTTACCTTGGTTCCTTGGTGAAGGAAAGAAGGTAGAAATTTTGAAGAGGTCATACAGTTAGAACTTACTTATTCATTTGTAAACCCTATTTAGATTATTAATCATTTGTCAGGTAAATTATTGGTGGCAATTTGCTGATGATAGTTTAGGTTCATGAACTAGACTAGGTAATGTGTTTGGACAAAATCCATGGAGCTGCTGATTTGGTAGTTGCACTTTTGAAATGGATCATGGATAGACATGGATTCAGTGAATGAAATATAAAAATCAAAAGGGACATAACCTGAAAGGTAGATGGAAATAAGACTACAGACAAGTTGCAAGCCTATACTATTGCTGCTGACTTTGTATCTTGAAATTAAGAACTCTTGTTGTCCCAATCTTAATTTGGTGGCCAATGTCCTAGATGCAATGCATCTGTGCATTCATTCTGGTGATTGCCTATAAGACTAGGAAAAGGTTTTAACTTGCCATTTCTTTCGCAGTGACCTCTGTGGCTATATCTGAATCCTCTTTTTTCGTTTTCCCTCTATTGTCAACAAAAGCATGCTATGTTAGCACTTCGGGACTTGATTGGGATATCAGCAACTTCCTAATTGTTGAACTGTCCAATCACAAAAAATCAGGTAGATTGAGTGCACATTTTTCTGATGTTATTTCAGTTCTCAATGGCTGTTAATGTGAAAAACATGTAAACACTTTTGAAATTCTCAAATCTGGTGTTGCTCTACAAACCTGTTCATGGCAGGCAAGTGGTTGCCATTTTCCAGCTTTATTCCACATGCAAGATCCAAACATACAAGTGATTTCAGAAAAACTAAAAATAAGAAGTAAAATGTAAGTTTGATTTTCTGGGGACAGTCTTCGACAGATGTAACTTTTCCTTGGGGAAATCAAACTGATAGACGACAGGTTCCTTCTTTTTAATGTGCATGAAATTTTTCAATCCCTTGGTATTGTCATTTTGACCCCTTATAATTAAACTTGGGACTATATTATTCTGAGATGTAAGACAAATTCTGCCGCCGCCACGTATTCTTCAAACCCAAGCGTTCATTTCACCTGGACTATGGTCATCTGGTATTTTATTGAGAAATTGGCAAGCTGCCTAGCTAAAGAAGGCTTTGCAATTGGACACCTTGAGCAAAGACAACTACAAGTGACCATTGCAGTAGGTATCTAGTACTAGTACTACTGTACTACAAACCTATAATTGATGATTAAATGTGAACTAGGATATATCACTCTAATTTTAGATATTTCTTTGACGGAGAGAGCTTTATACTTGTCTTTCATTGAAAATGTCAGACTTTATGTCCATCTTATAAGAACAGAGAAAGAAACCATTAGCTTCTTCAGACTAATGTTGTGTTCTAATCTACAACTGAAGCTTCCAACTTTCTCGTTTAAAGTGGGCATCTTTCTGAACTGTTAAAAGGTATATTTTTTAAAAAAAAAATTCTATATCAAAGTTTTTTTAAGAAAATCAGATAAAACTATTTTTAATTTTATAATAACTAATACTTAATTAATCACCTCATTTTGCGTGCAAAAAAAATATTCAACCAAAGGCTAGAACCAGCCTTTTTGTTTAGCTACTAGGTACTTTTTATAAGCATGTCTTTCAAATGGTTAACGAGATGATTTTTATAAAACATTTTTATATAGATATTTCTTTTAAAGTTAAATAAATTTATTTTTAAAATTTTATAATAGTCAATAATCAATTAATTATATAATTATATGCTAATAAATATTTTATTTTGCGTGTGAAAAAGCCTAACCTTTTAGTTGTATTTTGACCTCAGCATAAGGCTGACTTTAATGAACTATTCGGCTGGGCTACTTTCTCGTTTCTCATATGCATGGTTTTTAAACATCTTGACGATATGTTTCTTGTAAAAACTTTATACACAAATTCCTTAGAAGAACCAAATAATTATACTTTTTAAATTTGTAATAGTTGATAATCAATCACTAGTTAATGGCCTATCCTGTTCTACCATAGTTAGTGTAGTTGGGTCTATCTCTTCCTCTTGGTTGAAATTTCTTTCAACTGATAATTGGAACTATCAGCCAACTGATCTATCCAATCTGAGCAGAACTAAACAGAATAAAAAGTGACACTACATCTGTACTAGGCTTCATGCAATGAAACAAGGACCAACTTGTGAATTGTGATGATACCATCCTTGCAAATTGCAGTGCTAATCTTGCATCTGTACCAATCCATTTCTGGAGACTCACCTCACCTGTCAAGAAAGTGTCTCTCTGCAGCTACTGAAGATAACACACAATGACCTGCCTATGTACCTTTTTATAATGCACCATCTTAACTTTTTGTGCAGAGGACCTATTTTACTACTACCAAACAGCATTTGTTTTTGTATAGATTGTGATCATAGTGGTGCTGCTGGAAGTTCAAATTAATGTCAGTTGAGTGAGGATGATTTTGGTTTGGAGGGCTTCCATGGGGGGATGCACCTGAAAATCCTTCAGATCTGTGGTTGGGGCTTTCCTTTCCTGTGTGAGCTGGCCATGCCTGCAACTTGACACAATGACACACCCCAGTGTGTGGTATGCTTTCTTGTTAAATGTCACTGCTGCTGCTGTGCCTAAAGAATGCTGGCTCCATATACATCCATCCTTCCTCTGAATTTGTGCTGCCGCTTGTGTGTGTGTTTGTTTGTGTGACTTCACTGCTCTTGACCAAATACATTGGCTCTCTGCCTCAGAGAGGTACAGGGACTGGTCATCACTGTTTGGATGCATATCGACAGTCAGTCTACTGTTAGCTACTCTTTTCGTTCCAAAACATACTCCCTCCGTCTAGTACATATTCGCCGTGGGACGGAGAGAGTAATAATTTAGGATAAGATTATACACATCATAATTTATCCAGATTAATAGTACTATAGATTAATAGTACTATAGTGAATCTAATCCCAATTTAGATTAGAGGCCGGTAGTATCCTAGAAAATGGCTAAACAATACCTGCTGGGCAGAAGTGCAAGCAACTGATGATCAAAATTAGACTAGTTCAGATTAGAAAACCAGAAAGAGTAATTTGAGATCAAGGCATTGTTTAGATTTAAACTTTTTTCTTCAAACTTCAAACTTTTCCGTCACATCAAATGTTTGGATATATGCATGGAGCATTAAATGTGGACGAAAAAAAAAACAATTGCACAGTTTGCATGTAAATCACGAGACGAATCTTTTGAGCCTAATTACGTCATGATTTGACAATATGGTGCAACAGTAAACATTTGCTAATGATGAATTAATTAAGCTTAATAGATTCGTATCGCAGTTTACAGGCGGAATCTGTAATTTGTTTGTTATTAGTCTACATTTAATACTTCAAATGTGTGTCCGTATACTTTAAAAAAATTTGGCACACGAACTAAACACAGCCCAATAGTTCGCAAGCTTTTTGACCTATCCTATGACCAAATACACCATTAGACACATTGTGGCAAGTCGTTATTATTGGATTTAGTCCCACATTGGATATTCAATTACAGCCTCATCGGTTCACTTATGCATATGCTTATCTGTACTGTTTATTAGCAACCAAAAAGTAATTTGTGAGTACAAGTATTATATATATGTTCTTAGTTATTCAAAAGCAAATGATGTAAAAACAAACTGCGCTAAAACAACAAAATCAACTTCAAAATTAAGTTTTAAAATTTAAATTTGGCTTATAAGTATAAGCACAGGTTAAATGATGTTCTCACGCAACTTAGCTTAATTATTCTCTCTAGTTTCATTTTTTTTTACATTTTAGATAATGGCACGGTAACTTTGATTATGGTTAATCTATTATAATATACATACAAAATAAGTAAATATTTGATTATGGTTATCTACTATCTTCATCAGACTACACATCTTTTTCAAAACAATAGAACCAACGGAAGTATGAGCTTAGGATTCTTTTTGGGTGAAAGAGGCTCTGAGAACTTGGTTATGTTTACCTTAGGCCGGCCGAAGATTGTCTTGGAGAGCTGGATCAAATTATTTTTGGGCTAGGCTGGAAAACAAATGAAAAGCCATGTTTGGGCTAGGCTGGAAACAAGCCCACTTGATCCTTTACTGTTTGTCACCAGCTAGGCTGGACCGCTGGAGATGAAGATAGACCAGTAGTAATTGTGTGATTGTGTCCATTATTATAGTTAAGTGCATGTTTCCAAAAAAACAGAGATTTTTGTCAAAAGAATGAATTTATTGAACCTATATATAAAGTGAATTAGAATTTGATGAACCTTCACAAAATACAAAGACCAAAAACTATTCAAACTTAGGAGTATCTTTTATCAAAAACTATCTCATCTCATCCCTCAAAGTGGAAACTCTCTGTATTTGTGCTCTCCCTCAAATAGTACATGGTTTTTGCACAGAGAAGTACAGATAATGGTCGCCACTGTTTGATGCATACGAACAGTCTAAACTGGGATTTACCTCTACTGTTTAGATATTTTTTTGTACCATGTTTAAAAAAATATGATTTTTTTTGTGGATTTTGTGCAAGTCACATGAGAAAAGAATAAGCAAACAAATACTAGGAATGTTATGATAGGAGTTTGTTATTGGGTTTAAGTCCCATATTGTATGGAGCACAGTCTTTTGGACCGTGTATACCCACTATCTTTCGTTATAGCTTCTTTTGAACTGCCTAGGCCCAAGCTAGAGAGATGGATCAGATTATTGTTGGGCTACAAATAAAAGGCCATGTTTCGGCTAGGCTGTTAAACAAGTCCATTAGAGCCTTTACTGTCACCAGTTTTGGCTGGAAACCAAGATACAGCCCATTAGTACTTTGTCTCCGTTATAGTTTCCACAGTAAGTTTAAATTTGATAAAACTCACAAAATAGAAATACCAGAAGCTATTCAAGCTTCTTTATCCACAGCTATCTCATCCCTCAAAACATATTGTTTTAATAGAAAAATTAAGTGATGAATTAGGTCATGGGGTATGATCAATGATGAACCAACCTGAACCTAAAATGGTTTGATTTTATATTTGCTCTGACCAAACAATCTGTAACTCCCTTAACAGTCTTGAAGCACCTTTACCTTAAGATACACTACCTCCGTCCCCTAATATAAGGGATTTTGATATTTTACTTGCACTGTTTGACCACTTGTCTTATTCAAAAAATTTGTGCAAATAAAAAAACGAAAAGTTGTGCCTAAAATACTTTGGATAATAAAGTAGGCACCGTATCTGGTGCAAACCAGGGTTGCTGTGCAACCTTGGAAACTCTCAATCAAGACCACATGATGCTCATCCGATGGCTAGGGACAGAGGTGGGTTACTTTTACACTTAACCGCCCGCACTCATCCAATGCTAACCTCATTTTTTACAAATCCCCTCTCGTCACTTCGTGTGACCGCCACCCTCCGCCTCGCCACTCCCTGCGCGCTTGGCCGCGAACGCGTCCCCGCCCAGCCGGCTCGACGCCGTCGCCGGCCCGCCAAGCTGCGCCTCCCGCCGTCGCCACTCGCCGCCGCGGCCGCGCCCCCGCCCGTGCGCCTCCATGACTCCATCCAGCCATGCGCCGCCGGCCCCGCCACGGCTCAGTGGCAGCAGTAGGTTCGGACCAGTGCCTCTGTTATTGTTCTCGGAGGTTCGGATCGGCGGCGAGACCCTGTGCTCTTCGAGCGCTAACGAGCAGTGGACGGATGTGCAACTTCTGAACCACGCCCGTGCAGGTGCAGCGCTGGAACGCAGCAACTTTCTAAGCAACCAGGCACTACAAATTCCCTGGCCTGCCAATCAAGATTTGTAAACTAGTGTTTCCAATTTAGTTACAGAGAATAGTAGCAAGATTTACTAACTGAGATTGACACTGATGTACGGATTTTGTAATCTGAAATTCTGAAAGATTGTTACTGCAAATATGCAATGGAATTGTGTTATGTCATTTGATAATGAGATTGAGTCAAGTGGAACCATAAAATTTTCAGGATGACAGATGAACTGTCATACTTCTTGTTCTGCATTTTCTGCACATGTGCTAGAGCACAACAGCTTGATACAGGTTTAGTTTCATGTATTGTCATATATTGATGGCAAACATGTCTCGGATAAGAAGCTCTTGTTGCAGTTCATATTTTGGCAGCATCTGCCGGACTCCATGGTGGCAGCGGCGTGGCCGAACTCCATGGCGGCAGCGGCCCGTGACCTCAGAACGGGCGGGTTTGCGACACCCTCACTGACATGGCGTCGGCGGCACAGTGAAGGGGCGCCGGCGAGTCGCGGGTGGGCGGTGGCGAATCGCGTGCGCCACATAAACGAAACGACGCGGGGCGAGCAGGTGGACCGTGGACGGACGCTAGGATTAGGGGGGGATTTGCAAAAAAAACAGATTAGCAGAGCTAAGGGTGGGCAGTTAAGTGCAAAATTAGCCTATCTCTATCCCTAGCGATCGGATGAGCATCCTGTGGTTTTGATTGAGAGTTTCCAAGGTTGCATAGCAACCCTGGTTTTTACTTGATACGGTGCGAATAAAGTAAGTCACAAATAAAATAAATAATAATTCTAAATTTTTTTTGAATAAGACGAATAGTCAAACAGTGCAAGTAAAATGTCAAAATCTTTTATATTAATGGACGGAGGGAGTATATAAGTAGTGGTTAACCTAAACTTGCTTTACTGTCATGCCAGGTTTCTCAAGCAGGAGTCAACATTATTTTATTGTTAGTGTGCATAGATTCTCCAGGAGAAGTTGGGAAAATTAAACTTTTTTTTGGCGCCGTGGTTCCAAATTAATGTCACGTGTTTTATGGAGTCAATGGTCATTTTTCCAACATATGAAAACTACTCCACGTCGGAAGGGGCGGACGCTGGGCGTGTCCACGTCGGATTTTGCTACAGTAGCTACAGTGCGAGGTTGGATTTTTGCGAAAAAACCCTCCGATTCTTCGTAATCAGGTATAGGCCCCTCGCGTACTGTGTTTGAACAGAAAAAATCGCGGACAGGGGATTCGTTGTGATATGTGGAAGACGAGGGGCTTTTTCGAAAAAATACGCCCACTGCGCATACCCCTCAAACCCTAGCCGCTTGCTCTCCCTCTCTCGCGCCGCTACCGAGCACTGCCGCCTCCGCCTCCCCCTCAGGCCGTCCCCGTCGCCTCGCGCCGCCGCCTCCACCCCCGCCTCCCCATCGCGCTGCCGCCTCCGCCTCCCGCCGTCCCCATCGCCGGCCGAGCTGCCGCCGTCTGTCTCCCCTCCGCCCTCTCGTCCCCCACTCTCTCCCTCTCCCTTTCCCTCTCCCTCCACCGTCTCCTCCCCCACCCTCGCCTCCGCCTTCCCCTCGCGCCATTGCCTCCGCCTACGCAGCCGCTGTCGTCGCGTCACCGTCTCCAAGCGCCTCTGCTTCCGCCTCCCCCTCGCGTCGTCGCCATCGTCGTCCCCGTCGCCCTGCGCCGCTGGCGCCATCGCGTCGCCGTCTCCGCCTCTGGCCTCCGTCAACGACGAGGTCGGAGCGCCGACGGCTGCATCACAGGCGGCGCGAAAAGCTGAGGGGCCAATCCTGGCGGCGGGACTGCCGCGAGGTTCCGGACGCATCAACTCGAGGGGGAGACGGCGGAGGGAGTGGGGGTTGAGGCGCGCGCGGTCTTCATCCTCCCGGCGCCAGATCTGCTTCTCATCTCCACAAGGACACCCCAGCCCACCACTCATCGGCGTCGACATGGTCGTCGGCGTCGCCCTCACTGTCGCCGTCGCCAACAGACTGCGTTAAGAAGCCACTCCACCACCAGCAGCAGCAGGGGCATCCACCGTACGCCGCACCAATGCCTTCCCCTTCCCTCCCATCTGTGCCCTCTGGGTCACAGGTAGTCGCTTCATCGGCAGCCGCATTGCCGTCAATGTACAAGGCCAATGACCAGCAGCGAGCAACTCATGGCACCAGAGACGGCGGCGATGACGGTGACTACTAAACTCTTGGCACAGGAGCTTACAAAGGATTTGCAGGTTTGTGTGAGTTGTTCTTTTAAGGTTGCCATGAGGAATAGTTAATCTCGTTTTTCCCCTATACACCATGAATTGTTGCACATCAACATTGACAGTGATTTTCATTTTTTTATTAATGCAATGGAGCAACCTAAGGATTATACCAATTTACCAGGTGCTCTAATGCCACTGTTGGTGATGAAATTTTGAGAGACCCTAATCTTGCCATGTTTATGATGTTCTACAGAACCTGCATCCATTCCATCTAAAAGAACTCATCAGCTGGGATTGAAGTACTGATCAGATCTTTTTTTCTAGGTGAACTCGAGAAGAAAGTTCGAAAAATGGGACATTGCAATCACAACATCGGAACCTAATATCAACACTATGCTCATTGCCATAGGTTCTCCCATTTGTATAGCATTTAGAGATTTCTTTTTTTTAAAAAAAATTGTGAACAATTTCCATAAACTCACATCAAGGTGTCTCATGCAGTGCCAGGTAAAGAAAGGGACTACAATGCTTATTCAAAGGATTATATGTCTTCCATAGTGAAGCAGTCATGCACTAATACTAGAAGCTGCTTTAGAGATGGAGACATCCCGTCAAAAATCTCCAATTACCCAATGAGTGAGCCATTTTTTCCCCATGATTACTTACTATTTCAGATTTGTATTTCTATACATGTGGCACCTTTTCATTCCAGTGTTTTTTTGACTGGGCTTTTCATTCCAGTGTTGTGCCTGAGGATCATATACATGACTCTGATCAATCCTCCACCTTAGCTGGTTGCTCTGCTTGCTGTGACCATGCCACGACATCCGAAAACACAGAGGACCAGGTTGGTTAGCCATATTTCACACTCGTTGCACTCTGAACAATCAATAGAGAATCACTTCTAGCAATCTATTATGATTCATTTCCAGATGCATTAATCTATTCTCTTTGTTAGTACTTTTCTTGGTATTTTAGGTTTTCTTGGGGCTTAGTTATAGAATAGGGTTTTGGAGTGGGTTTGTGGAGGGGTGATTAGAAAGTTGAAACTCTTTTGCCGCGAATAAATCTGCAGTAACATGCCTATCATTTCACTTCAGAGCCAATGCATTTGGGTAATGTCTCAAAATTTGTTTTGTATTTGGTTGTTTCGGCTTTTTTGGTTGAAGGAATCTGCAATATATCATGCTTCCCCAATGAGTGAGCCATTTTTTCCCCATGGTTACTTACTATTTCAGATTTGTATTTCTATACATGTGGCACCTTTTCATTCCAGTGTTGTGCCTGAGGATCATTTAAACGACTCTGATCAATCCTCCACCATAGCTGGTTGTTCTACTTGCTGTGACCATGCCATGACATCCGAAAACACAGAGGACCAGGTTGGTTTGCTATATTTCATACTCGTTGCCCTCTGAACAATCAATAGCGAATCACTTCTAGCAATCTGTTATGATTCATTTCTAGATGCATTAATCTATTCTCTTTCTTAGTATTTTTCTTGGTATTTTAGGTTTTCTTGGGACTTAGTTATAGAATAGGGTTTTGGAGTGTGTTTGTGGAAAAATTTAGAAGCTTCACATACTGGATGAATTTTTTTAGTAGTTAGCGTATTGGTTATTGGCAGTCAAATTTTTTTAGTACAACTGGTAGGAGGATGAGCTTATATTTGGCACTATTATTCAGAAGATGTTAATCTCAATCTCCCATTTTACTGTACTTAATGTTTTCTTAAATGTTAAATACTTAAAATGGGACTGCAGTTGGTCACTGATGGTTGCTTGATAGCCATAAGGAAAAGAGAGACAAAAATAATGAATTCATGCAGAGGTTTCAGTCAATTGCAAATAATATGAGATTGGTTGACTTAAAATTGAGGATGGTGTGGTATGATGAGCCTCTGTTGATCTGATCATTTTCCTTTTTCATGTCAGGTTTGACACCTTTGGATTGCATACCAGAATTTTCCATGTTCTTCAGCTCTCAATAACTCATCTTCAGGTAATATGATGGTAGTCCAGGTTTTTAGATGATTTGCATCAAGGGGTGAAAATAAATTGATCAGCACAGCAACATTGATCTTTCTTATGGGTTGTTGCTTTAGCTACCACAATGCTTATTTGCAAGCTCGTGATGTGTTGCAAGATCTAGAGTAGTCTAGCGAAACCTATGTCATAAGTGCCACAATTCCAAACCGAACCTCCCCCAGTGTATTGTTCGATGTGGCTGCTATAGTTTTTTACTAAAAGTATGTAAATTTATTTGTTCTATGGCTTGTGTAGAGGAGAAAGGGAAGTGAGGAAAATTTGTAAGTGAAGAATTTGACAGATTGCGATGGGCACCAGTTATGCTGGTAATTTTCTTGAACCTGACACTAATTTCAGGGTACGTACATTCTTAATCCAAGCCACAACAATGTCTGAGTGGTTTTATATGTCGACCATCTGTAGTGTCTTCTTAACTGTTCATTCTGTCTCACCAAGACTAAAGAATGCATTTCTCTTTTACCTATGTGTATTCAGTACTATGAGGTCAGATATGCAGATATACTTCTTCTACTTCATAAATTTGTGGAATACAAATAAGCTAGGGTGAAGATAAATATGTCAGGTTAAACTATCCGTGGATATAAAATATGTCATCAAGCCTTAGATTTTTCAAGATTATCAGGAAGTGTATATTTCAGACTATGTATTTACTTTATTTTGTTTCAAGTGATGTAAAGCCATATGAGTTTTGGTCTTGTTTACATTGTATCGGTCCAGAGGTTTTGTTCCTTAGAATCATCTTCCATTGTATGAGCAGCATATTCCAAGCTGCTCCTTTAAAGGAATCACTCGCTTTCCATATATGCAGTATATTTTTATTACACGATAACATCACTATTAATTGGTATCTATATGGAAATTAAATCATGCCAATATATCCAGTGAAACCAAGTGCTATTGGTTGATAGCAGTAAAGATGTGTTTTCTCTGGCATTTTAAGTTGCAGTGTTCTGATGACTTCTAATTACTAATGATGTGATGCATAAATTCTATGGCTGGTTCTGTTATTTCTTTTTATTTGAATGTAATTTGCTTCAATGAATTGATGTGGTTAAAGGAGAAAATATTTAAGGCCATGTTTAGTTTCTCAGGGTCCAGGAGTTGAAGCCATGCAAACATGCATCATGCTAATGTCGTCCTGAGCTTCCAGATTAGGCCCTGCTGTATTGATCAATATATTCAGGTCAGTTGAGGCTCTAAATTAATTCTGATGATAATTTTTATTCTGCTGTATTTGACGGGCCTCATGCATCTGAAGATCTGGATTACTGTGGCCGAATTCGTGTTCTGATTTTGGGGTGTAAAATACTGAAATCAATACGGCTGTCCTTGCTTTCATGGGGGGTATTTGGTGATTTGGTTACTTCGATTACATCGAGTTGGAATGTCAATGCTCTCTGAACCTCGAATTTATTACTGGGTTACCGCATTAGATTATTGGCTTCGCAAGCTGGGGCTTGTGCAAATGATCCTGCGTGAAATATGCACATAATTTGCTTCCCTAGACGAGTTTCTGCTAACTATTCTATAGATCATTTGCATAACCCAGCAGCCAGCTGTTTCTCTCTTCTTCCTTTTTCCCCCTCTGAACATGTTTACTTAGGTCAATTTCCAGACATTGAAATGTCTTGCAAGATCAAAATTCAAGGTTAGTCCGCTCATTCTGTTTTGAGAGAGTTCAAGGCTAGAAGAGTAAAGTTAGTAAGCAAATAAAAACGATGCAAAGAATATACTTGATCAGAGCTAAGAATGCTCTCATAAGTCATAAGTCTGAACTCCCAGAAATAAAACGTCAAGCTCTTCGAAACATGATATATGCCATTTAAACCTTAAGTGCCCCTTTCAGTTTTAAGAGTAGAAGCCATGTCTTCTTGGATGCTGTCTTTTGATTTTCTGTCAAATGGATCGTCTCCTTTCTAGAGATCTAAAATAGACTTGCACAAAAGCATGCTGTGTATGCTCCCCAATTCTTCTCCTTCAACTACACAAAAACACAGAAGATAAGCTTATTAATGAAGAGCGGAGTGTGCCTGTTTAAATTTTACCTGGAACTAATATGAAATGAAATAAGCAGCAATAAAACGTGACAGGGATTTATCATGGCATTGAAATGCTACCTCACAGTGTTACATGATTATGATGTTTCTTTCTTCTTTCTTTTCCTTTTGGCATGATAAAATGAAAACATGATAAAAGTTGGTTTAATTATGAAAAGGCCATGGATTTTCTACAGCATTATCTGTGATGACTTATTTGCTACTCTTCATGCACTCAATGCTAACCAAATGCATGAATAGAATGAGAAAATAGTCCCAGGTATTGGGAAACTATATCAGACACATGCCCATTCATTCTAACAACATTTCAGTTTGATTCTCAAAATTCTTCATGCCATCAAAATAAATACTATCTGCACTGTCTCAAATCAACTACAAAGCTGTCAATAAAAAAAACGACAAAGAAAGGAAAGAAAAGGTGAAGATAGAGCTTACTACTTATTTTAAGCACATGTCTTGATTCTCTTGAGGGCTCAATCACGGACCCCTTTGGTAATTTGTATTCATCCTTGAAAAGTGAAATGAAACTGTGGAGACCAAGGTGTCAGACAGAAGAAACTTGTGTAGTTATCATTTTAACTTGACAAAGGTATGCTAAGATTGGAACTTACGCATTAAAAAAAAAGTGGAACAACATTATTTACTAAACAGAGTGACAAACCTGAAACTATAATATGATTTATTTTTCTCAGCTGATGATTAGTTCTGAATCAGTATTGCTCTTCTTGACAAATGACCTCTCTCTCTCTCTCTCAGCATGATGACAGCATTATTTCTATACATGGGGATATTGTGTATCCGGATAAGAATAGCATTATTTGTAGGTAAGACATATAAGAAGTAAATATATTTCTAATTTATAAACTGAAAATGTATTATTAAGTGCTTTAACATGTCATATGCAGAAGTTGCTGGAATGCTAGATAATCTTGTCCTCTTTTAAACATAGCATGGGAATTATAGTAGAATCAAGATGCTTTCCTTTGCTTGGTAAAAATGTTTTGGACTGCATTTCAGAACTCAGACCATCATCTATTTCAGTGTAATTACATTATTCTGCAGAAAGACACACAAAACTATCATGGAAATATGGAATAGATAGTTCTATATTTATAAGGCATATAGTTCTTAATTCTTTTAATCAAGCCGAGTGCTATTTTGTGTGGTTCATTAATTTTTGCGTTACCTGTAAAGCTGTGGTTTATATATTTCTTTGGGAGCTAGGTTCACTTGGTAATATAATTGACTGATAGTAATATACAATGGTTGCACTTTGAATGTGCTGAGAATGGGGTCACCTTGCATGCTTTTTTATATTCTTAAATAATGATGAATTTTCATGTGAATGTATGTATAGCATCCACATTGTTCATGTCACTGATTAGGAAAAATGTATTATTTGTTCATGTATATCTCATTTGTTCTCTGTGTTACTATAGGCTGGAGGCTATAGAAAAATATTTCAGCCTTGAAATAGTCAAGGACATTGTGGAAGCCATGGTGAGTGATGCTTCAGTTGTTTTATACTTCCAAATGGTGTGAGATGATATGTGCTCCTTTTCATTTGAACATGAGTAAGCAGAATGTTGTTGATTGGTACAATAGCTTTCAAGGCTACATTTTATTTCCATCTCATTATTTACTCAAATGAATCTCGTGGATATTTATTTTTTGGAATTATCAAGTATTTTTTTCAAATATAGTAGTTATCGTTACCGTTTTGGCATAGATTTTGTTCCTTAGGCTACCTTTTAGTTTGATCTTGAAGGTTTTGGTTCCATATACATAAATTTTGCTTATGGTTCAAAACTTTTAAGGAGATGTTGTTGTAAACTTGTAATCAGGAAAGTGAAGCATCTAAGTTAGATGAGGATTGTTGTACCTTGGCCATGAAATGATTGAGAGAGCCCTATCCAGTTCTGTTGAGAGCCTCACAGTGTTTGGTAAGTAAAGAAAATAGAAAAGCTCACACTGCCATTGCCGATGGCTGACAGATTTTATTATATGCCTGTCCTACAGATGAATTGCAAGCTACAAATGCTTTGCTGTAGATATGAATTGCAAGCTTACAGAAAAGGTTGTGCACTGTGGGCTAAAAAGTCCCATTAACCAGGAAGGTGAGTGTTGTTTTTCTCCTTTAATATAAGAATTTGCTACCTCAATTTTGTTTTACTCATGTCAGCACTGAGATATAATACTGATACATGGATTGATGCTGAATTATATACATACTATTTCTCTAGCTTTTACTCATACGATTAAGATTTCTTTTAAATGTCAATATATCTTCTTTTTATGTATTTAAGCTTCCCTTTGTGCTTTTATTTTTTGTTTGCCAGTTGTTTATGTATTTCATTTAAGAAAGGTGTATGGATTACATGTATATAATCCTCGCAAAAAAATGCATGTATATATTGTGGATTTAGCCATCTATTTTCCCTGCTCTTTCATGCTTTCAAAAGGGCCAGCGGTCATTTGGTATTGTGTGGGTGCTCTGCACATGACTATTTTTATAAATATGTAAATCATGTTTGCGTATCCCTGTATCTTATGCTAGACGTTGATTAGTTTTCAGCAAAAAATTGGGAAGTTATACTTGGTTGAAATTAGTATTTTGTCTATGGTTGTCATAAATATATCAAAAGCTCTAAACTAGAAAAAAAATGGTATCCCCAAATCTAAAATATTTCCTGCATAGTTCACGTTAAATGAAATGGCCTCATGCATATACAGATGAGTATCTAATGTAATGATTCACTCATTTACCAAAAAGATAGTAGAATATTATTCATCATAGAATGCTACCATCACCACCACTATTTTTTTATATCAGTAAAAGATGGAGCCTTTGGAGATTTATTAGTTATTAAGTTACTTATGCTTTTCTCACTTTCAGCTTGAAGGATACTAATATTAGAAATTCCACAAATGACACAATAGATATGCTACAACTTTGGCTCTACTTACACTACCTGTATATGACTACAAAACTGCAGCTGTGAGAAGATAGAATGGCATCACTTCAAGGGTAAAATCCTATTTTTTTTGGTTTATAACTTGATGAATGTGATTTTGCATAATACTCCTATATATTGCTGCTACCTCATAAAAATACATCCATGGATCAATGTTCCTCTAGCACTGATAGGCCTAGAAACAAGGTTGTCCTTTTTTCCCTTAGTGTATGCGCACTATGATAAGATGTTACTATTAGGGTATTAGTATGTACCTGCAGGTCTGCAGGTTCTTTTGAATGTGATTTAATTAGCTAATGTTTGCTTTCATTTCAACCTGTTTACATTTTTCAGGATGTGATGCGATGCTGAATCTAATATTGGAAAGTCGAGCCCTTTGTTCTTCAATTGCCCTATTTGCAAAGATTATGACCTTTCAATTTGTCATCAATTATTTATGACACCAATGCATTCTCTTGGTGTATGCACCAAAGCAATTTGTACGCGGAATTACTTATATTTTTTATATAATGAAAGCATTGTGTTCATGTTTGAATTAAAAGTCTAACAAACTGAGGTTTTAGTAGGGGATGCTTTGCATTGATAATAAAGTGCCCATTACTTTGTAGTTACATGGGATATTTGTTGCATAGGATGGATTACTGACTCAACTCTGATGTCATTGATATACACAGGAGAGTTAATATAGAATATATGATATTACTAATATATTTATCAATTGATTGCTTTAGTACATGGACGTGTTTTAGTGTATGCAGGCGGCGCGCAATGGCGCGCCCCAGCATCTAGTGCATATGAAAACCATGCATATGAGAACTTGGTTATGGTTACCTTAGGCCGGCCGAAGATTGTCTTGGAGAGCTGGATCGAATTATTGTTGGGCTAGGCTGGAAAACAAATGAGAAGCCATGTTTGGGCTAGGCTGGAAAACAAGCCCACTGGATCCTTTACTGTTTGTCACCAGCAAGGCTGGAGATGAAGATACAGACCAGTAGTAATTGTAGGATTGTGTCCATTATTATAGTTAAGTGCATGTTTCCAAAAAAAACAGAGATTTTTGTCAAAAGAATGAATTTATTGAACCTATGGCCTGGTTTATTTCCCCGAAAATTTTTCTCAAAAACATCGCATCAAATCTTTGAACGAAGCATTAAATATAGATTGAAAAACTAATTGCACAATTAGAGGGAAATCGTGGGACGAATCTTTGAAGCCTTATTAGTCCATTATTAGCCATTAGGCTCAAAAGATTCGTCTCGCAGTTTCAAGCCGAGTTATGAAATTAGTTTTTTCATTCGTGTCCGAAAACCCCTTCCGACATCCGGTCAAACATCCGATGTGACACCTAAAATTTTTCTTTTCGCGAACTAAACATGCCCTATATATAAAGCGAATTAGAATTTGATGAACCTTCACAAAATACAAAGACCAAAAACTATTCAAACTTAGGAGTATTTTTTTTATCAAAAACTATCTATCTCATCCCTCAAAGTGGAATCTCTCTGAATTTGTGCTTCCTCTTGTGTGTTTGTGTGATTTTCACTGCTCTTGACCAAATACTCTCTCTTCTTTTTTTTTTGCACAGAGAGGTACAGATAATGGTCGCCACTGTTTGATGCATATGAACAGTCTGGCTCATCACTCCAAACTGGGATTTTACCTCTACTGTTAGATATCCTGGAAAATGGCTACACATGCTGGAGAGAAATGCAAGCAACTTAACTGATGAACAAAATAAGACGTTTTTTTTTCCAAGTTTAGCTCAGCTAGTTAGATTCCTTACGGTGGAATCAGCACACCCGGGATTAAGTCCTAGATTTGACATGAATGCTCATATTTATGACTAACTATTCTTTCAGTCGTAGCTACATGACGCACCCATCGACAACGAGGTACTTATGATGATTTCGTCAATCTCAAAATATACTGATCCAATCTTGTGAATATGCTCATAGAGGTAGAATGTGCGTGTGTGTTTCTAGAGGTGAGTATATACGTGTTGTGAGCGTCTGCATTTATACCATGTTTAAAAAAGTACGATTTTTTGTGAATTTTGTGCAAAGTTACATGAGAAAAAGAATAAGCAAACAAATACTAGGACTGTTACGAGAGGAGTTTGTTATTGGGTTTAAGTCCCATATTGGATTTTTACTGTATGAAGCATAGTCTTTTGGACCGTGTATACCATCTTTAGTTATATTCCATCTAGTCCAAAATATAACAATTTCTCCACCAATATTTCTTTCCCAACTAATCACAACACTCCACTATTCACTTTTCCCACCTACCTTCACTTCTTAACTAATCACAATCCCTTTCTATTTAATTCTACATATTATCTTAATAACCGTGTCCAACTCTAAAACTCTATATTTTGGGACGGATGGAGTAGCTTCATGGAATAAGTTCACTCTAGGTCCCTCGATTTGTCGCCCAGTCTGATTTTCGTCCCCAGTCCAGAAAACCGGATACAACACATCCTCCAACTTACAAAACCAGTGCAAACGAGGTACTCGGCAATATTTGACCTCGGTTTTGGCCGACGTGGCGCCTACATGGATCGTTTGACTAGGTCTTCATCCTATGTGGCATTGGCATGGCGCTTACATGACATTTTGATTAAAAAAAAGGCAAAATTGAAAACTAAAAAAATTTAGAAAAATATGTGGTGTCGATATGTCAGTCAAACAATTAAAAAAATAGTGGGACTAACATGTCAGTGGTAAATAGTGGGACCAACATGTCAGTGGGTCACACCACTTCACCTCATCCTCTCAACTTCTTTCCCCCTGTCTCCACCAACGCTCTCTCCTCTCTCCACCGGCGAGCACACTTAGAGAGGGACGAGGCAGGGAGGCCAGCGATGGAGGCGGGGAAGCCCGCGAGGGGGGGGGGGGGTGAGATCGGGCCCGCAATGCCGCTGTTCCACCTGTCGCCTGCTCCGTTCCAGGAGATGTCCTCGTCAGAGCTCAAGCCCTGTGGGACCATCTACTTCCCCATCACCGACGACCCCCCGGAGCCGAGAGTGAAGGGCGACGCTTAGAGGGAGGACGGCGCCGGAGGGGACGAAGATGTGGGAGACATCATGAAGACGCCTCCGCTCCAACCACCGCCTACCCGGCTCCGCACCACTTGCCTGCTGCAGCTGCTGCAGCTCCGCCTGCCACACACCTCGCTCTACCGGTTGGCCGCTCCACCAGTATAGTGCAATCTATGTCCAACCATGGATTCTATCGGAATATCATCGGTCTTACCACAACATTCTCCATTCCTGAAAATTCCTCATTGGGTAGATTCTATCAAAAGATCCTGCTGCTCCATGCGTTGCGCCCCTCCACCGCCCACATGCCGAAAAGGGGAAGGGAGAGAGGAGTAGGGAGCGATTGCCATCGCTCTGACTGCTGCGTGCCCGGCGTGGCCAGCTCCAACCACTGCCACTCATCCCACTGCATGCCCCGCTCCACCGGTCAGTCACTCCGCCCCGCCGCTCCACGCCATCCGCCTCCCATATGCTGAAAAGGGGAAGGGAGAGAGGAGTAGGGAGTGGCAACCACCCCGTTCCACCCGCCCTGCTCCGCTTCGCGGCCTGCTCTGGCCGTCGCCACTCTGCACACCCCACTCCGGCCACCTCTCCGCCCACCGCTTGCCCTTGTACCGCCGCTTTACCCTGCAGGGGGATAGAAAGAAGAGGGTAGTTTTGAGGATGACATGTGGGGCCACATGGGCCCCACCATTTTTATCATTATTTTGTGTGTGATTGACATGTGGGTCCCATGGGTTTTACTATTTTTCCAGATCTAATTGCTACGTAAGCGCCACGTTAATGCCACGTGAGACGAAGACCTAGTCAAAAAGATCCATGTAGACACCACGTCAGCCAAAACCGGGGTCAACACTACTGAGGGACCTCGTTTACATGGTTTTATAAGTCGAGGGATGCGTTGTATCTGGTTTTTGGGACAGAGGATGAAAACCAGACTGCGCGACAAAATGAGGAACCTAGAGTGAACTTATTCCTAGCTTCGCTTGAAATGCCAAGGCCCAAGCTAGAAAGATGGATCAGATTATTGTTGGGCTACAAATAAAAGGCCATGTTTCGGCTAGGCTGGAAATCAAGTCCATTAAAGCCTTTACTGTCACCAGCTTTTAGGCTGGAAACCAAGATACAGCCCACTAATACTTTGTCTCCGTTATAGTTTTCCAGAGAAGGGATTTTTTTTAAAAAAATTACCTATATATAAATTAAGTTTAAAGATGATAAACCTCACAAAATAGAAAGACCAGAAGCTATTCAAAGTTGTTTATCCACAACTATCTCATCCGTCAAAAACATATTGTTTAGTAGAAAATTTAAGTGATGAATTAGGTCATGGGGTATGATCAATGATGAACCAACCTGAACCTAAAATGGTTTGATTTTATATTTGCTCTGACAATCTGTAACTCACTTAATAGTCTTGAAGCACCTTTACCTTAAGTATATAAGTATAGTGGTTGACCTAAACTTGCTTTACTGTCATGCCAGGTTTCTCAAGCAGGAGTCAATATGATTTTATTGTTGAAGTCAAGTACTAGTGTGCATAGATTCCCCAGGAGAAGTTGGGAAACGTTAATTTATTTATGGCGCTGTGGTTCCAAAATAATGTCGCGTGTTTGTTATGGAGTCAGTGGTCATTTTTCCTACATATGAAAACTTTGCTCCCTCATTAGTTGAAATTAAAATTAACTAGAGTAGTGGTTGATATCCTTAAATTCACATGGGGTACGCTATCAATTATTATACAGTTATTTCCTTAAATTCACATGGTTAAATTCCTTATGGTGGAACCAGCACACCCGGTGGTTAAATTCACATGAGCATATCCATTGTTAGCTTATTTTAGATTTGACACGGATGCTCATATTTATGACTAATTATTCTTTGAGTGATAGGTGATATATCCATCGACAGAGACTTCGTCAATCTTAACATATGATGGCCTAATCTTTCGGATATGCTCAAAGAGGTAGGATGTGCATGTGTGTTTATAAGAGTAAGTATATGCGCGTTGTGAGCGTCTGCATTTGTACTATGTTTTAAAAAAATGATTTTTCATGAATTTTGTGCAAAGTTACATGAGAAACGGAATAAGCTAACAAATACTAGGAATACTATGAGGGGAGTTTATTATTGGGTTGAAGGCTGTGTTCTGGAGGACCCCGCACGCAAAACAAAGCTTGTATTATTGCATGATTAATTAAGTATTAACTTTTTTTTTAAAAAAAAATAGATTAATATGATTTTTTAAAACAACTTTCATATATAATTTTTTTGAATAAATCACACCGTTTAGCAGTTTGAAAAGCGTGCGCGCAAAAAACGAAAGAGTTAGGGTTGGGAAAATAAGGGAATAACACAGCATAAGTCTCATGTTGGATTTTTTTTTGTATGAAGCGTAGGAATTTTTTTCATTTTTAAATTTTTATTTTTTATTATTTACTGAAATATTGTACCGATGAAAATATTTACAGAAGTAGGCCCTGCCGCCCTCGGGGAGAGTGGCAAGGTGACGTGAGGGATGGACAAGATGAAAAAAAAATATAGAAAAATGCATTTTTGGCAAGGCGAAAATTGCATTTGCCCCCTTGC